GCCAAAAAGTTTAAGAACCACTACACTAGAATAACCCGTTATAGTACCTCCTTTCCTCACACAGCCAAACTGTGGAATGCTCTGCCGTCTTCTGTGTTTCCATACTTGTACAATCTGTCTCACTTTAAAAAGCTGGTTTTCTAGCATCTTCGTGGTGTAGATTAATATAACCTTTTTCTTTTCTATTTTTAATTTCTTTCTATTCCTATTTTTTTGCCCCTTAGGCCCCATTGTGGGTCATTTACCTGTGCCCGGGTGGGCTAAATGTGGGCTAATTCCCGTAAAAAACACATAGAATGTGCCTTATGAATAAAGAGAAAACTGTACAGTACTATGAATATAAAAATAAGAGGGTGGGGGCATATTGTGTGTGGCAGACAAGACTGATCTGGGAACAGGAGGTAGCACAGGTGGGTGGCTCCCTTCTCCAAGATCTTGTGGCGTAGTGTATGTGGCCAGTAGGCTAATTTCTCCTTGTGTTTATCTATTTTCTCTTTGTTAGGCTCACATACGTACGTACATGTAGGAGGTCTCGCACTAAGGATGAAGGTGAGGAGGGAAACTCACAATGGCATTTTCTTTATACAGAGCAGTCAGGTGTTGGGAAGCGGACGGTAAGTGACCAATCAGCAGTTGTAGGGGAGAGTATCCACTACAATCCCTTTAACACATCTTTATGTAATTTCATCATAATTCTCACATTATTTAGGTTCATTTGGTGCCAGGTTGATAAAAATTATCATAAAATTATACATTTTCCAGGTAATAGAATCTCACACCCAACCCAGATAAGTCATTGCGTCATATTAAATTCTCATCCATTTATTGACAAAGCCCGAACAGCTGATCACCCTAACTCCATCACCAGCACTCTCCATCTATCATGTTTACCATAACAACTATCTACAGCACTTAGGTTCATATTACTGTACTGTAGTGTATTTACCATCAGTTAATAAATAATACTCTAGTGTATTATGTATCTCGGTGGTGTACCGTGGCTGCACTGATGAGTCATGCAGAACACCCACATATATCAGTTACCAAATCAAATATCAAGTAGGATCTGGCCTCTCTCTAAATAAGGGTTGTCTAGCTTATATAAACACCTAATTCCTTAAATTATATTAGTGACATGACAAAGTATACATTACAATTCATTAAATAATTGGTGTAAAAATACTTAGGGTAAATTAATATTAATCTTTCAGTGTTGATCTACAGTAATTTAGAAATAAAGTAGTTAAAAAAATGACTAGGCATCATGCACAATGCTGGCCCTCTGTAAAGTTGCCAATGATCTTATTGATGAACATTTAAATAATAAGTAAATATTTTTATTTATATGATCCGATTATTATTTCAAGTAAAACAGAAAACTTAATAACTTTCCCAAGTGATAATACTGTAAATGAAAATTGACTGTTGGGTTATTTAGAAATATTAAAAATTATAATGTGGACCAGTGAATGCAGTTTTTGAAGTGCATGCATTTGTACCCATTAGTTACAGAAACCTTATTAAATAGCCACTTTTATGGAACAACAGCTCTTAGGTAATATAATATCACCGTATAACATAAGACTTCATGCTTATTAAGGGAAAATTAAAGTATATCACCGTATAACATAAGACTTCATGCTTATTAAGGGAAAAATAAAGTATATCACCGTATAACATAAGACTTCATGCTTATTAAGGGAAAAATACAGTATCAAATTTTACTAAAAATAGCTGAAATTCCTTCTGCTTCAACACAATAAAGTTCATTTTCGCATGTTATTGATAGGATAGTTACAGCTAAATGTCCATTGAAGGCATGCGGCTTATCCTTCTGCATGCACTAAGCGACGCTGAGTCTCCTTAACTTTCTTGAGTGAAAACAGTGAAGATTCTAAAATTAAATCTGTATTACTGAAGAGACTACAGTAGTACCCTGATTTACGAACTCAGTTGAACCCACAGGGTACCGCGGAAAGTGAAAACCGCGTAAAGTGAACAACAGAACATATGGGATTAATTCCAATAGAGACTGGACTGACCCCCAAACTCCACTTTTTCCGACACAATACTTATGTTGTAGTAAAACTAACATCTTAATTTTATGATGGTATGCTCACACAATTAATATTTAAGAGAAATACAGTCGCCAGGTTAATGTCCATTCAAATAATAATCAACTCCCCCCCCCCCTTCTCTCTTCCCAAGCTCGCTGGCTCCTCCCTCTCTGAGAAATGTTTGGGTGAAAACACTACATTTTAAGGTATAGTAATAAATAATACCTCAGACTAAAGTTAGGATAATATAATTGACATTTCTGGATTCCTTGCAGGTCAAGGAATATTTTGAATGTAAACTTCATATATTTTACACAAAAGGCAAAATATTTGCTTTGTGTAAACCAAATTATTACATTAGATCTAAAATTTTTATGTCTAATGCAAAATCCATGATGTTTATATTCAAAATGATCATCATATTGTAAGAATTTCAGCAATGTAAATTATATTCTGGCCGGGTAATTTGTATGAAGTTTATGAGCTAAAACAAATATCTTCACTAAATAAAAAAAATATTCGTCACCCAGACACTATCTGTAAATCAAAATACCCCACCTCCCGCTCCCCCCCTCTTCACACGATCGCTGGGTCCCTCCCTCCTTCCCTACCCCCCACCTTCCCTCCCTACCAGAGAAATGTTTGGGAGAAAACAGTATATTTACATTTTTAGTGATAAATAATACCTCAGACTAAAGTTAGGATAATATAATTGACATTTCTGGATTCCTTGCAGGTCAGGAAATATTTTGAATGTAAACTTCATATATTTTGCACAAAAGATAAAATATTTGCTTTGTGTAAACCAAATTATTACATTAGATCTAAAATTTGTATGTCTAATGCAAAATCCATGATGTTTATATTCAAAATGATCATGATATTGTAAGAATTCCAGCAATGTAAATTATATTCTGGCCGGGTAATTTGTATGAATTTTATGGGCTAAATAAAGAAATTATACTTCACCCGCGTATATGAGTAGATGCACCGCGTAAAATGAAATTCCGGTTCTGGCGAGGTACCCCGTACATGTAGAATCGCGTAAAGCGAAACTGCGTAAATCGGGGTATTACTGTATTTAAAAATATATTTTGCTTTCTACTATGCACGCCTTGCATTCTTTAAGAATATGCCACTGGTGTATCTGCATACTGCTTAGTTTATTCATTAATAAGTGTACAAGTAGTTAAATTGAGCCATCATGTATCGCTCAAAGATAATAACTAACATTGTTAGGAAGGTACAGTAACTCCACATCAAATACTATAGTACAGTGTGTTATAGTGACCCTGTTGTAAAGATGCTAAAACCTCTCACTCCTGAGTGAACACCTTCCAATACAGCTTATCCTTTTATTTTCAAGTCATATTACAAATTATATACAGTGGTCCCTCGGTTAACGAACACAATTCGTTCCAGAAGGTCGTTCGTTAACTGAATCCATTGTTTCAATGGGATATTGGGTAATTGGTTCCAGCTCACCGAAAAGTACATACAAAGTCTAAACAAAATGCAGTAAAGTACACTTACTTTGAGGTGTGTATGTAGAAGGTTCCTGGTTGATGATAATGATGGGAATTAGAAGTGGGGTGGAGGAGAAGGGAAAAGAGAAGGAAGTGGGGATGGAGGAGAAATCACCTTTCAGGGGACCCATGCTTAATGCCGTCATTTCACCAATAAAATTTTAAGTTCACTAAGTTTAATTCAAGATTATTTTATTTAAATCAACACTGCACTGCGCTATATATATTATCAATATGTTAACTAAATTTCCAAATGACCAATAATTTGAATGTAAAAATGCAAAAATATTAAAGAGCACAACTTTCTTGATATTTACCCCACTGGAAACGAATGCAAACATAGAACAGATTACTGAATTGGCAGACTAGCCCATCAGTTGATGCTCATAACAAAACGTGTTTGTCGTAAGGATTTCATTAATCAAAGTTTTGTTCGTTAACCGAATTGAAGATCCTTATGGGAGGTAATTCGTTAATCAAAATTTCGTTAATCGAACCGTTCGTTAACCGAGGGACCAGTGTATTGTATTTTTCCTCTATTAATGAAGATGTTATATTACTCACACCTTAAGAGGCTGAATATAATACGGAATCAATAAATAAACCTGATGAATACAACAATGCCCGGTCCCCCCAGCTGTTTACATACACAGTGTCTTAGCTCTCATACAGTACTTGTTGGGTCTACAGCATATCTCATTAGACCACTGTACACTATTCAGTGAGCAAGTGATGTTCTCTTCATATTTTTTTTAATTTTACCCATCTCTTAAAACCTCAAGTATCCCCATTAAAGATACTACATACTCAACATAAAAAGTTCATGTAAAAAAGTGTAGGTAGCGAGGTGGAGCACAGTGATGAAGGCAGGACTCAGAGTGACACCCACACGGACGTTCAAAAGCACAGACGATCACAAACCGTCTGGGCTGATGGCAGAATTTCTGGACTTTTAAAAAAATATTTTTGGTGAATAAAGGGGCGGTTCAAAGCACCAGAGTAAAAAAAAAAAAAAAAAAGAAGCAAATTCAGGTGTATTGAGGTTCTGTCTTATTGTGTCCCAGAAAAATGTATACACACAGCTTTACAAATATTCATGGGGAATGCATTAAAAGAGTAACCTTATCCTCACCTGTTGACGTCTGAGTGAGGACAAAGTTGCTGGTGTAACAGATTCCCGCACCTCCAGGAGATCCAGTACAGCGGTGTATATACATTTTAGGAGACATTTTGTAGCAGTATTTGAAAAACTGTACACAAATAACTCATCTAAACCCACATAAATACAATCTAAATTTTTTAAGTTTGTATAAAACCATGATAAACGACCTTTCTGGTATGACACTATTAAGAGAAAATTAAAACACCCAAAAAATAATTAAAAAACAAAGAGAGAGAGAAAGAGAGAGAGACGTACGGCTCAGCATGAGTCTTCCCCTTTTTAGCTATTCCTCTATAAGATGGCTTCTTGACTGGCTGGGGCTTCAGTGCATTAATTTCCTCTTTCAACTTGAATATCTCTAAGGACTCCAAAAACTTCTGTCTTTCCTCGATGTTTCGCCGAATCTTGAGCTCATACTCAGAGAGACCCGTGTACTCAGGCTCTGAATCACTCTAGAAAAAAAAGGGAAACTACTTTAATATTACAGTAAACAAAACAAGCACTCTGTAGTGTCAGAACAGTTGCTAATAATGCCTGTCCCTCATATACACGGCTGGCCGGGCCTAGGACCACCCCAGTGTGAATTTGTTTAAAGTGTTAAAGCCAACGACACGACCAAATCCTAAGATAACGAACTGTATGATGGTGTCAAGGAATAATCCAAGAAGACTGGGCAGCTCACCAACTGCAATGGTTAATCATTATGGTCCACATATTACTTACCTAACCTTACTTACTGAATGGCCACCCATGAGAGGTGGCCATGTTGAGGGAAGGAGGCCAGTAACCTGTGTAAGATCTCTTCATTGTTATTGATAATTTTGTCAAAGTGTATTTTGAAGCTGGGCCAAAAGTTTTGCTTGGAAGACAAGAGGCAAATGACAAAGAAACTTGCCCATAGTTCACCCTGCCTGGGGATGAAACCTGGGACCACTTGTTTGCGAGGTCAATGTGTTGACCATTACACCATAGGTCAGCAATACAATAGAATGAAAGGAAGGAGTAACCAAAAAAAGGACCCCCAGTAAGGTTGAGGGAACTGTAAAAATCTACATGTATTGTACATTATACAGTATTACCCCGCCTAACGCGGTTTCACTTAACGTGTTTTATCATATACGCGGTGCCTCGCCAGAGCTGAACTTTCACTTAACACGGATTTTTTCCACATATACGCGGTGAGTGTCCGGCTCAAGACGCTATTTTTAGATTTGCCCCACCCGCCACCCTGCCTGACTGCCTGTTTTAGCTCATAAAATTCATACAAATTACCCGGCCAGAATATAATTTACATTGCTGGAATTCTTATAATTTGGTGATCATTTTGAATATAAACATCATATATTTTGCATTGACATACATTAAACATAACCTTTTGTGCAAAATATATGACATTTATATTCAAAATATTCCTGGTCTTACAAGGAATCCAGCAATGTCAATTATATTATCCTAACTTTAGTTTGAGGTATTATTTATTAAAATTTAGTGGTTATCCCACACATCTCCTTGGGACGGTTGGTGGGGGGTGGGGGGGAGGGAGGGACCGACCGACCATCTGTTACCCAGTGAAGAATTATTTTTTTTTTTATTAACTGAAGATATTTGTTTTAGCTCATAAAATTCATACAAATTACCCGGTCTGAATATAATTTACATTGCTGGAATTCTTATAATTTGATGATCATTTTGAATATAAACATCATATATTTTGCATTAGACATACAAATTTTAGATAAAAATTTTTCTCAAATTAACTATGTTATCTTTTGTGCAAAATATATGACATTTATATTCAAAATATTCCTGGTCTTACAAGGAATCCAGCAATGTCAATTATATTATCCTAACTTTAATCTGAGGTATTATTTAATACTAAATGTTAAAAACCCTGGAAGGGAGGATTGGTGGGGGGAGGGTTGGGACTGACGCGCGGTTGGAAGAGGGGGGGAGGCAAGGTGGGGTACTTTGATTGACAGATAGTGTCGTGAAGATTATTTTTTTTTTTATTAACTGAAGATATTTGTTTTAGCTCATAAAATTCATACAAATTACCCGGTCAGAATATAATTTACATTGCTGGAATTCTTATAATTTGGTGATCATTTTGAATATAAACATCATATATTTTGCATTAAACATACAAGTTTTAGATAAAAATTTTTCTCTAGGTAACTATGTTATCTTTTGTGCAAAATATATGACATTTATATTCAAAATATTCCTGGTCTTACAAGGAATCCAGCAATGTCAATTGTATTCTCCTAACTTTAGTTTGAGGTATTAGTTATTAAAATTTAGTGGTTTTCCCCCAAGCAGTGTAGTGTGAGAGGGGGAGGGAGTCGAGTCCATTATTTGAATGGACATTAACTTGGCGACTGTATTTCTCTATTTCTCTTAAGTATTAATTGTGTGCATGTACCATCATAAAATTAAGATGTTATTTTTACTACAACATAGGTATGTGCCTTCAAAAAGTGGAGTTTGGTTGTCGGGCCGGTTTCTATTGGAATTAATCCCATATGTTCTGTTGTTCACTTAACACGGATTTCACTTAACGCGGGACCCTCTGGGTTCAATTGACCGCGTTAAGTGGGGTACAACTGTATACTGTACAACAGACTTTATAAATATCTTTTGTAACATCTATTGTCATCTTACTGTGTGTTGAGTGCACAATAATCCTAGCTCTCTTAAATACAATTAAGAGAAAGACAAATTATTTCTAAACCATTACAGTAACGTCTTACTTCTTCTTTTGTGAAAATGTGGCCAGAAGTTACATCATTCTGCTCTTTACTTGAGGCTGATTCAGTTTTTATTTCTGGTTGTGTTGCAGCACCACTACGAATGTTCCTGCCACGCCCACTCCGAGTATTTCTAACACCACTCCGAGTGTTTCTGGCGCCACTCCGAGTGTTTCTGACGCCACTCCGAGTGTTTCTGGCGCCACTCCGAGTGTTTCTGGCGCCACTCCAATTGTTTGTGTCACTCCTTCCAGTATTCTTCCTACCACCATTACTGGCCACTGTTTTCTTCTCCATCTTAAGAGACTTTCCACTTGCCTCCACTGAGTTCTTCATTTTTTTATCCACCGGTTCGTCTTCATCACTAGAGAGCATCATCATCTGAAATGAAAAAATTAAGTTGAGAACATTGTGTAGAAGCACCAGAGCATTGTGCACGAACACAACATAGTTAGTTATATGACATAGCAAGGAAGGTTTATGACACACCACAATGATACTAATGGTAATGTGCTGTACTGTGCTGTGCTGTCTGTGCTGTACTGTGTTGTGCTGTGCTGTACTGTGTTGTGTTGTGCTGTACTGTGCTGTACTGTGCTGTGTTGTGCTGTGTTGTGCTGTGCTGTGTTGTGCTGTAGTGTTGTGCTGTGCTGTACTGTACTGTGTTGTGCTGTACTGTGCTTGTGCTGTACTGTGTTGTGCTGTACTGTGTTGTGCTGTGCTGTACTGTGTTGTGCAGTACTGTGCTGTACTGTGTTGTGCTGTGCTTTAATGTACTGTGCTGTACTGTTTTGTGCTGTACTGTGTTGTACTGTACTGTGCAGTACTGTACTGTGCTGTACTATACTGTGATGTGCTGTACTGTGCTGTCCTGTATTGTGCTGTCCTGTACTGTGTTGCACTGTGCTGTGCTGTACTGTGGGGTACTATGCTGTACTATGCTGTATTGTGCTGCACTGTACTGTGCTGTACTGTATTGCACTGTGCTGTGCTGTACTTTACTGTGATGTACTGTGCTTTATTGTGCTGTGCTGTACTGTATTGTGCTGTACTGTGCTGTGTTGTGCTGTACTGTGCTGTAATATACAGTGTTGTGCTGTACTGTACTGCACTGTACTGAACTGTGCTGTACTGCACTGTGCTGAACTGTGCTGTGCTGTACTGTGCTGTGCTGTAATCTATATAAAACAAGGTTAATTGAAACCTAATTTAAAAAGGAAAATTTATCGTGCTGACCCGACCTTTGTTTACACATACATCTGGCCAATACTAGTGTCAATTATATATCAATAATTATTGTACAGTTCTGCATAAAGCATTATGGTTTCTGTTTCAAAATATAAATACAAAACTACATACAGGGTGTATCCAGGCATCCCCCGTGTAACGGAAGGTTCCGTTCTTGAAAATATTTCCCCCTCTCAAAATTCCACAATGCAAAACCATTTTTCCTATTCCTAAGGAAATTTTTTGCAGCCCAAATTAAGACAGTTTTAATCACATACAGTGAGTCATTCATGATGTAACATGATAATAAATGAAAAAAAAAAAAAAAAAATTTAACTTCCCAGAAATGATGAGAGCTGAGTTAAGAGGGATGCCTGGTTTAAGGTGTAGGTAGTACAGCCCCCCCCCCAAATTCGCAAATAACATTTGCAGAGGAGGAGGAGGGGGGGGGGCATTTTTACTTGTGTACAAATATGTATATTTCCTTCATGTGTTTGGCCTTAGAACAATTAATTCTTTTACCTGTATTGCAGTGATATCCCCGTTAGCCGGAACAATGGTACAGAGCACTTCAGGGGATGAGAGATTTACGGCTAACCAGACAACTTTCTCACACCCGGAAAAATTCTTTATCCCCGGAATATTTTCCGGTTACTGGGAAAATTTTCTGAGTGTCTAAACTAGACCTCTTGCACACACAGACACTAGCCCACTTCCCCAGAATGTTTCTGGGTGCTGGGGAAGTTTTCCTTGCGTCTAAACCACCGGAGTCCGTAAATGCATTCTAATTAAGTTAGAAACTCCATTTCTTTACTTTAACAATCCAGAATAGTTTATCAAAATGTTTGGTTAAATAAATATATTTAAAAATTAAAAATCTATATGATGTGGGCATGACTGAAGTTGTGTTACAGCAGACTGGTATTTTCCACTCCCATGGAGCTGTGGGGGATTAGTGGATCTTGTGTACCTGACCGACTCAATGTCGGGTGGAGGTAGGGTGGGGGATTAGTGGTCTCATTACTGACCTTCTGATGGAATGTCAGGTCACCCTTTGTTGGCTGGGGGATTAGTGTGTCTCATGACCTGAAGATGTCTTAAATAAACAGAAAACCTAAAGTATTTTAGGGAGGTTGTGATAAGTATAAGTATAAATGAGCAAAGTTGTATCCCTTCAACATTACATTACGTAACATTTTAAAATATGGCTGTACACTCCTCCATACAAATGTTTGCTGATGATACCAAGTTATTTTGGGAAATTAAGAACCGAGCAGACTGTGAAGAGCTGCAAAAGGATCTCTGCAAGCTTCAAGAATGGTTGAAGAAATGACTGCTGAGATTCAATGTCAGGAAGTGTAAGATGACGCACCTGGGGCATACCAACAGTAAGGAGGTATATCACATGTCCCAATGGGACGAAGAAACTGCACAATTTGAGACTGAATGTGAAAAGGACCTGGGTGTGTATGTTAACAATGAGCTGAAGTTCTCGGGCCATTGCGAGAAGAAGGTAAATCAGGCAAATAAATTATTGGGTCTTATAAGAAAGTCGTTCAGACATCTAGACGGCCCGACCCTCGTAACGATCTTCAAGAGTGAAGTGCTTCCCCATCTGGAGTACCGTCACCCCATCTGGTCCCCGAGATATGCTAGGGACTGTCAGTTGGTTGAAAATGTCCAAAGGAGGGCCACCAGACTGGTGCCTGCACTTCGGCACCTCAGCTACCCTGAGAGATTAGAGCGCCAAAAATTACCTAGCCTATACTACAGACAGGTAAGGGGTGACCCAATTGAGGTGTACAAGCATCTCAAAGGGCACTACTCAGTCGAGTGTCCTTACTTGGAGCTGGCGGATGCTCGCACCACAAGGGGTCACAGCTCAAGGTTGAAGAAGCCGCAAGCCCAGAAACTGTGAGGGCAAACTTTTTCGGAGTAATGGTTGTGAACTCTTGGAACAATCTACCAGAAAGTGTTGTGACGACACCGAGTGTAAGTTCTTTCAAGACCAGACTTAACCAACACGGGAGCTGGTTCAGGTACATTCAGGAGCCGGTGCGTGCCCAGTACTTGCCAACGGTGCGTAACAGAGACGTGACCGATCGCCCAAGCTGCTAATGAACTGATCAGTGGTGAAGAGGATAAATGTAAAAGTAAAAAGTAAGTAAAATTAATGCAAGTTATATTCTCTTGAGTCAAGTCTGTGACATTTTATAAGAGAAAACTTTAAGCCTAAAACAAAATTCATCCCATAAATCATTACGGTACCCTCTGCTCCCCCACTGCTGGCTGGGAGGTGAGGTTCAACAGCCAGGAGAAGATTAACAGTTACTCAAGGATTATACAAGACTTGACTTAGGAGAGTATAATCTGCATTGCTGGAATTCTTGTAAGATAGTGACCAATTTGAGTATAAACATCCCTTCTTTGCACCATACATAATAATTTTAGTAATTAACTCAGTACATTTGAGTACAGGTTGTGATAATTTATGTGGTTGCAGTTTCAAAGTTTTGTTACATCACTAGTGTATAATGAGTCTCCATATGCCCTGGTTTATTCATTGATCAGTCGTCTAAGTACAAAAGTAGTCCTGTCGAGCCATCATGTATCAATTAATTTTAAAATATAAATTATAAAAGTAAAATGTTATAAGACAATGGTTTAGTAGTGCTGTTGATGTGTGTGTTGTGTAAGTGTCTTGGCATGTCACCTCACCACCTGACTCCTGAACAAACTCTTCATCAACTTCTTCAAATCCTACAATGTGCTTGGCAAGCTCAAAACACACACACACACACACACACACACACGGGAATTAAGACAACAAGCATCCACTGAGGGTCTTGTTGTGTGACTGCATGGAGGAAAATTAAAAGATCAGCCGTTGAGGAGCCTATCGCTCGGCAACACTGGTGCATGTTACCAGTCCTTTCCACTCCATCTCTCTAATCACCCACATCTTTCTGCTTTCTCACAATCTCCATTAAAATACTTTAGCTTTCGTGTTTATTCAAGACATCTTTAGGTCATGAGACCCACATTCCATTAGGTCAGTAATATGAGACTACCCAGTACTATTCCCCCACCCTACCTTCACTTGACATAGAGTCAGGTCAGGTCAAGTCCCCCAAAAAAAAATAATTTAGCTTTCATTTTTATTCCAGACATTTTCAGAAAATTCTCTCAATTTTCAACCTCGGAATTTTTTTTCCTAAAACCAGAATTTTTTGGATAATTCTGGCTTTAGGAACGATTTTCCAAGCAAATTTCAATTCTCGCTACTGGAGTTTTCCGTGTTTGAGGGATTCCGGCAAATGGAGATATAAAGTACAGTGGTCCCTCGGTTAACAAACGCCTCAGTTAACAAAATTTCGGTGTACGAATTACCTTCCATAAGAATATTCAATTCGGTTAATGAAAAAAAATTCGGTTAACAAATTCCTCTCAACATGTTTTCGCCTGCTCACCAGCTGGAATATTAGTCCGCCAATACAGTAATCAGTTCTAGGGCTTAAATTCGTTCCCATTTGAGTAAATATCAAGAAGGTTGTACTATTCAATAATTTTCCAAGTTTTATATTAAATTTTTTAGTCATTTTAACAATTATTTAACACAATTGAAGTACAGGAAACTAGTTTTTAGTGCGCCAAACAGCCACTCGACTCACCAAACAAGCATCAGTTTGTATCTCTGGTCAGTAGAGGTAATATCTTGCTTGAAACTCTCTTGAACATAAACTATTTTTTGTTTTTACAGTACAATTATTGGTCATTTTGAAATTTATTTAACATATTGACAATATATGGTGCAGTGTTGATTTAAAGAAAATAATCTTGAATTACACCTAGTGAACTTAAAATTTTATGGGTGAAATGACGGCATGGAGCATGGGGTGATTTCTCTTCCACCCCCACTTCCTTCTCTTCTCCCTTCTCCTCCACCCCCACTTCTAATTCCCATCATCATCATCATCAACCAGGAGCCCTCTACATACACACTGCATTTATTTTTACTTTGTATGTAATTTTCAGTGAGCTGGAACCAATTACCCAAAATCCCATTGAAACAATGGTTTCGGTTAACGAACGGCCCTCTGGAACAAATTGTGTTTGTTAACAGAGGGACGACTGTACAGTAATAGAGCACGGACTGGAGGGTAGACCGTCACATTTTTAATACTAAATTTGATTTCTGATTATTTATGAGTATTTTTTCCATTATTATTTATTTGTATGTGTTTTACACACACACACACACACGTACAGTAAAACCTCGATTAACCGACCACATATGGGGGGAAGGGGCCGACGGATAATCCGAAAGGACGGTTAATACTGAAGTACATAGTGTACGGAAATAAAACATACGTTTTCAAAGTACCTTTCCCTAACCTACCTCATTTAATTCCCTCTATTCATTTTTGTTCACTTGCCATTCATATTTCAATAGAATTTGCTTTAAAACATTAACCACTTTAGTAAATAAATATGAGCCAGCACAGAAACCGTGAATAAAAAATGGAAAAGTCAAAGAACATCACAAAAATGGTGACCAAGTCCCAAGTTGCTGATCTGACTTTCTACCTCATTTACACACAATTGCAAGGTCTCAATTGCTTCTCTTACTATTGACAACACAACATACATATATTGTTTCTCATTCTTGATTTTTTTTTTTTTTGCATTTATTTATGGTTCTTTATTACTATTATTATTATCATTATCATTATTAATATAATTACCGTACATTATCGCCCCCCAGGCCCCGATGTGGGTCAGTAACCACAGGATGATAAAGTTTCTCAACATTTCTCCCCCGTGTAAGTGCCAATTTAACATGTAATATATTGTTTGTTTTTTTATTTGTGTGTGTGTGTATTTTTACATCTCCAACTGAACTCCAGTTAAATTCTTTATGCGAGGTAGAGGGGAGGGGACTCCCAAGGTGGAAGGCTGGAGCTCAGTGCCTCAGGTGAGACGGCTGTTACTGTTGTCAGTTTTAGCGATATTTTCTTCTTTCCTCCTCTTGGGTTTAGCAGTGCTGTTGGCACGTGGTTCCTTTAGTTGTCTATTATGTTTTGAATAACAAGCCATCCTGATATTCAAGGAGAAGCCTGGTACAGCAGTACAAATGAGGTAAGATGTGCAGTGCTGCAGAGTACACACCTCCTCTCCTTCACAAGGTCTGGGACCTACTGACTAATCATGTCTTGCTTTCCTCTACTCGCCAGACAGGAAGAGAGTTGCCTGAAATGAATTTCTAAAGACTTTTTTGTGCTATTTATTCCATATTTTGGGGGGAAAATATTTTATCACAATCATTCATATGTCTACCCAAGGGGACATGGGAAGGTGGGAAGAGCAGTAGGGGGACCAGATATAACTGCATAAACATTATGAATAACGCTATAAAACTCCGTCCACATACGGCCATAGGCAACATCTTTGCTCGGGAATTTTTTTCACATTTTATGATATTAATTTTTCATCTATCTAAGCCAGATGCCTCCCTTAAGTGAGGTTAGGTGGTGCAACTGGAGTTACTGTGAGAGAGACAAGGTTCACTACTGCCTCTCCCTGTCTATCATCTTCATTTGTTGCTGGCTGTGGTCTTGGGGTGAAGAACTTGTCTAAGGAAGTCTGTCGTTGACGTACAGTTCCTTGTAGCCGCTCTTGAAGTTCTCCAATCCTTTTGCAAACTTGAGGCTGCGTTCACAATCTGGATCATTAGTCTCAAAGGTCTGAACCAGATCTTCCCGTGACTAATCCCTTTTGCCAAAACCTTTGTTGTCAATTCACAGGCTGTAGATGGAACTTCTGTACAGGTAAACCTTGATAAACGACGTTTCATTCAGCGATACTCCGCTTTAACGATGGTCACGGTCAAAAACTCTGCTTTCACGATGGTCACGGTCAAAAACTCTGCTTTCACTGGTCACGGTCAAAAACTCTGCTTTCACGATGGTCACGGTCAAAAACTCTGCTTTCACGATGGTCACGGTCAAAAACTCTGCTTTCACGATGGTCACGGTCAAAAACTCTGCTTTCACGATGGTCACGTCAAAACTCTGCTTTCGATGGTCACGGTCACTCTGCTTTCACGATGGTCACGGTCAAAAACTCTGCTTTCACGATGGTCACGGTCAAAAACTCTGCTTTCACGATGGTCACGGTCAAAAACTCTGCTTTCACTATGGTCACGGTCAAAAACTCTGCTTTCACGATGGTCACGGTCAAAAACTCTGCTTTCACGATGGTCACGGTCAAAAACTCTGCTTTCACGATGGTCACGGTCAAAAACTCTGCTTTCACGATATCCATTGGGAAGGAATTTCTTTTTATCTCTTGTGCAAGCCATGGGTTGTATATATTTAAATTAATCGCTGTCTTGCAAGGATTCCAGCAATGTAAATTATAATTTTCAATGTCAAGACAGTGACATTTTATAAGGAAACTATGTAACACTATGCACCACGCATCTCTACCTTTATTTGTAACACCACGCTGCCACACGGCCAACCTGCACACTATAGCGCTCTGTTTGGTCTTTTGTCGACCGTAAACCCAAAATCGTATGGCTTCACTATTATCGGTCGGTATCGTGCATTGTACTTTCCATCGGTGTTTTATTTTTCTTATATAATGAGAGGACAGAGGACAGCACTACCATTTAGACTGAACTGTGTTATGGTGACTGTGGAGTAATATTTTCTGTGTTTTGTGACTAAGGTGTTGTGAAAATAATGTGAACAGTGTTGGCTGCTATCATTGGTTTTGCTATCATTGTTGGCTCTGTTTTTGTGACAAGAACTTTAGCTCTGTTTTTGTGATTGTGAAGTGAGCAGTGTAACTTTGAAAATGTCTGGGAAGGCCAAGACAACTGTGTCTCTGAGGTGAAGCTTGACATTGTTAAGCAGCATGAGACTCCCCAGAGGCTGTGTGGGTCATGTCTCCACTCCACCTATAAGGGTCCCCTTATAAGGCCTTGAACGGGACATGTGATGATGACCAGACGTGTTCATGATAATGTGGTCAGTCTTGTTAAATTGTTTTGTACTATTAGTAGTTTGTTGAAATTTTTTGTTAGTAACACATGTGTGAATGGGGACTGGCTGGGAACATATCCCATTGAACCCCATGTTATAATGCTCCCTGTCTACAATATTTCACTCAGTGATGGGTGTTCAGGAACATAACCTCATCATTTATCAAGATTTATCTGTATCCTCCCCTCCCTAACCAGCAGCTCGCTCCTGTTCCCTCAACATTAGATCTTCTCTGTGTTACTCCAACAACTCAACCACACCATCCTGATCCACATCCTCAAGCCCTGCACCATTTGCGAGAGCTATAATTTCCTGTTGCGCCTCATTTAAGGTCTGAACCTGGGGAAACCCTTGGAAATCTTGGATACATTCTGGCCAGATGTTCTTCCACACATCATTCATTGTTGTATTTTTCACCTCATCCCAGGAGTCAGCAATGTTGTTTTTAGCATTCGTGATGTTAAATTGTTTCCAGAAATCTCTAAGTGATAGCTGTTCCTCTCCATCAATTGCAGCTATAAGTTGTCTGAATGTCCTGCATAGAAAGTAAGCCTTAAAGCTGGCCATCACACCTTGATCCATAAGCTGGAGCAAGGCAGTTGTGTTCTTGGGCAGGTACTCAACCTTGATATTATTCAAAAGGTCATTAAGGTTAATAGGGTGGCTGGGAGCATTATCTAACAGTAACAAGGCCTTGTTGGAAATATTTCTTTGGTTACTTTACCTTTCTGATGCTGGACAAAAACTGTTTGTGAACCAATCTTGGAAGAGGCTGGCAGTCATCCATGCTTCTTATTACAACGCCATATCACTGGTAACCTAGGTTTGGCGCTGCCCTTGAATCTTCAGAGTGGTACACAAGTATGAGCTTTAACTTAAAATCTCCAGGAGCATTACACACTCCTTAAAACCTGGAGCTGTCTTCTCTTCAGTAGAAATAAATGTCCTGGCAGGCATACACTTACAGAAAGGCTGGTTTCATCAACGTTGTACACTTACTGTGGTGTGTATCCATCAGCCTCAAATTACCTTTCTTTCTGCTCGATATTTCTTTGCAGCTTCAGTATCAGCACTGGCTGCTTCATCGACCATCTTAATGCTATGTAAGTTTAGGCATTTCTTAAACCGTTCAAACGATCGTTTGGTGGCATTAAAGGGGTTTTCATCAGAACTTGTACCTTCTTCCTTCACTAAATCTTCATACAGACTCTCAGCCTTTTCCTCAAGTACAGTATCATGGTGTTAATGGGCACATGTTGCTTGGTCTGGTCCTCAACCCACACACTCAGTAAGTGTTCCCTACTTATCATTACATCACTCACATGAAAATACAGTTTATGGGCTGTTAATGATGTAGCACCTACAGCACTAGCCTTGTCTCTGTTATTACGGATTGTTCTGAAAGTGGAGGCAGCAAAACCCAATATTTAGGCGATGTAACTCAGTTTTTCCCCCTCATCAAACCTCCTTAACACACCTAATTTTGTTTCCACTTTTTCGTAGTCTCTTACCACCACAGCTAGCACTTGTACTTGATGGCTTCTTTCCACTCATCATGAATAAGAATACACAGTAACACTGTCCTGAACACGAAGGCAAAACTGAACACAGGCTGGAGACAGAATTCAAATGGACCGAAACCGCTGTTGTTGTTGTGGGGTCGCAAATGCCTTATGGCTACCACAGAGAATCCACATGAAATAATCTAAACAATTTGGGTAAAAATTTTGGTTAAAATTGCAGATTTTTTAATTTAAAGATTTATAAAAAAATTTCCATATCTCGAATTTTCTGGCCATAATTTCAAAATCTTGAAAGCGCAAATTTCCGTAACCCGGGGTTCCGTATCAGAGGGGATGCCCGTACAGTTAAAACACTGAGTACCGGACTATTTAAGTCACAACGATGTGGTCAATCATATGGGATCCTCACAATTCCTTCCTTCACCTCAACACTCATTTCAATACATAATCATCCTTTCAAAATATTTTTAACAAATTCAAATACACATTGAGCCTGACCAACTGCTCCCTGGACTGCACTTGAGCCAGACAACATGATGGGATATCCCAGCATAATCCTTCCCCTCAGACAGACTGGCAGGCAGGGTCACTACCCCTGACTCAATGGATAATTGCCTCAACCATCCAGCTAAAATGAATGAAAGATTCTGAATATATCTTCAGGTTTCTCTAAGAAACCTTAAAAAATAAATTTGATGACACAAATTAAAATCATTTAATGTTTCTCTCAAGAAATGAAAGATAATAGAGAATAATTAACGGTTTTCTTACACAATGCCAATTTTAGTCACAGTAGTCAACTTTTTTTATTTTAATTTCTTCAAGAATTTTTAATAAATAAATATTTTACGTTAACTTGTCAGGAGATGCGGCCTTCAAGGATAAGAAGATCTTCCTCTAGATGGTCCTTATCTTAGTGATGTCTCTTGTTATCTTTTTCACGTCGAGCCATTTTCACGAGCCAACGCCACATACTGTGGCAAACACCCTCAGTTTTGTAAATGTCCATTCTCTCTTTTCAGACTGTGACACCGACAGAAGAAAGTTTAGCTTGTCGACGAATGGCCGCACAGGACAGAAAACTTGAGGTAATTTAAGGGGTCGCAAGATATAGGAAGTGAAGCATTGGACCAAGAAATAAGGAGTCTACTGTACTGTATTAATACTGTACCAGCTTAATGATTACCCAAACCTTCTACTATTATCTTCAAACACAACTAAAACAGGAAGAATTTATGAGTGACATACAGTAGTACCTCAATTTACGCGGCCAATTGAACCCACAGGGTACCGTGGAAAGTGAAAACCGCATAAAGTGAACCACAGAACATGTGGGATTAATTCCAATAGAGACTGGCCCGACCCCCAAACTCCACTTTTTCCGACACAATACCTATGTTGTAGTAAAAATAACATCTAAATTTTATGATGGTATGCTCACACAATTAATATTTAAGAGAAATACAGTCGCCAGGTTAATGTCCATTCAAATAATGGACTCAAATCCCCCCCCCTCTTCCCAGCTCACTGGCCCCTACCTCTCTGAGAAATGATTGGGTGAAACACTAGATTTTAACGTTTAGTAATAATACCTCAGACTAAAGTTAGGATAATATAATTGACATTTCTGGATTCCTTGCAGGTCAGGGAATATTTTGAATGTAAACTTCATATATTTTGCACAAAAGATAAAATACAGTAATACCCCGCTTAACGCGGTTTCACTTAACGCGATTTCGCATATACGCGGTGCCTCGCCAGAACCGAACTTTCACTTAACGCGGTTCATCTACCCATATACGCGCAGAGTGTTCGGCTCGAGACGCTATTTTTAGATTCGCCCCACCCGCCACCCGCTCCCGCCTGCCTTGCCTCGCCTCTCCCTCCTCCTCCTCCTCCTCCCTCCCGCCTCCGCCTGGGCAAGCCGGGCTGTAAGGTTGCGCAGTGTGTGTCTTTGTTGCGCTATCACTGACGTCATATGACATATCGCACTGTGATTGGCCATGCATCCCTACCCCCCCTCTGCTGCTAGCTGTAATTGGTTTAAAATAATATGACGTGTCCACCCGGGGAGGGAGGGAGGAAAGAGGACGCTGCCGCGGTAGTTTCATCCCTCCAGGCCACCCCGTGTATACGTGCATCCATTGTTCTGTGAAATGGCTTCCGCCAGACCACCACCGCCACCAGAGAGAAGCCTTTCCTTACCTGGACCCAGCCGCCCTAAGCCCAAGAAGTCACGCCGTGGCCTAAGCTACGAAGTGAAATACCAGATCATTCAAGATTTGGAGAAAGGAACACGTCAAGCTGATCTCGCGCGCCGGCATGGCGTCAACGAATCTACGATTCGCACTATTAAGAAGGATTCAGCCAAGATTATAGAACACATGAAAATCACAAAGTCTGCAGGTGCTTCAATGATCAAGTATTGCCAGAATAGGGTGCTGGTAAAGGTGGAAAATTTGCTGGTGAGTTATTTGATTCGTCAGGCGCGACGCAACATGGCGGTGGACACGCGCTCAGTGCAGGAGTACGCACGTGAACTGTACGCAGCAGTGTCACGTAAGCTGGGAATTGCAGAGCCCAAACCCTTCAATGCTTCCTCTGGTTGGCTGCATAGGTTTAAGAAGAGGAACAAGATCACCAACATCAACATTGGTGGTGAGGAAGCGAGTGCTGACCGTGTGGCGGCTAGAGATTTTCCTCCGTTCTTACATGAGGTTATGGAGGAAGGACAGCACACTGACGACCAGGTGTTTAACATGGACGAATCTGGTCTTTTCTGGAAAAAGCCACCTTCCAAGACCTTCGTTGTTCAGTCTGCCAGCAAGGTATGGGGTCGGAAGTTGCAGAAGGAACGCATCACCGTCCTCTTTACCACCAATGCCTCCGGTACCTGTAAACCAAAGTTATCGGTGATTCACACAGCCCGCAAGCCGCACGCCTACAAGAATATGGACATGAACAAGCTTAATGTCCACTGGCTAACCGCACGTAAGGCGTGGATGTCCTCTTCTCTGTCCCTCTTCTGGTTTGACGACTGTTTTGTTCCCGACGTGAAGAAATTCTGCGAGCAACAGAATGTTTCATTCAATATTTTGTTGCTCCTTGACAACGCACCTGGACACTCGCCCCTACTTATGGATCGTCACCCCAACGTAAAAGTGGTCTTCCTTCCTCCCAACACTACGTCATTAATCCAGCCCATGGACCAGGAGTTGATCTGCAATGTGAAAGCTGCATACTCTGCAAAGAAGTTCAAGCTCCTGAACGACTCTACCAACACCAAGGATGAGTTGCGTAAGCTGGATGACACCGACAGCGAGAGTAAAAGCGACGAGGACAAGGAACAAGAGGTGGCGACTCAAGAAGTTCTCGTCAAACAGTTTTGGAAGAAGTTTAACGTCAAACAAGCTGTAGACTTCTTGGTGGAGGCATGGGATCAGCTGTCTATTGCTACGATTCGTCACGCATGGAGACATGTGTTGCATGGCATACCAGCTGAGAGGAGGAGTCAACCTGTGACTGGTGAGGTTCAGACTGTTGCAGTAGCAGTGGACCTTGCCAGAGAAGCTGCGCACAATATTACAGCTGAAGGCTTCTCCGAGACCACCAACGAAGACATCCTGGAGGTGATCAGAGATCCTGAAGTGACTGCCGACGAGATGTTGGAAGATGAGCACGTCAGTGAAGAGGAAGAAGGTGCGTCATTCTCCGAAGAACACAAGTTAAGTCATAGTGATATTAAGGGTGCCATGGAGTGTGCAGAAAAAATGAAGTCCTTCCTTTCCCACGACAATGACGATGACCGCTATGAAGTCTTCCATACCCGGCTGGTGCAGGCTATGGAGCCGTACATCACGGTGTATCAAGACAACATTAACACTAGCCGTCAAAAAAGCATTACCGAGTTCTTCGCCCGCAACCCACCACAGCCAGCCAGAGCCAGTGATAGTGACTTTGAGGGATTTGTCAGGGAAGCCCTGACAACTGTAAGTGACAGTGATGGTGATGCACCTAGTAATGGTGATTCACCTGAGGGCCAGTAATCTGCCCTCTGCCTCGGAACCAGCCTCCATCCCCGTATGCCGACCCATCTCTTCTACTAACGTAAGTGTTCAACATAACTTTTATTTATCCTAACTTAACCTTTATTTTTCCTAACCTAACCTCTTCTATATTACTTGTTTGTTCATACCATCATAAAGTTAAGATAAAATTTTTACTACAACATAGTTGTGTGTCGTCAAAAAGTGGAGTTTGGGGGTCGGGCCAGTCTCTATTGGAATTAATCCCATATGTTCTGTTGTTCACTTAACGCGGTTTTCACTTAACACGGTACCCTGTGGGTTCAAATGACCGCGTTAAGCGGGGTACTACTGTACTTGCTTTGTGTAAACCAAATTATTACATTAGATCTAAAATTTGTATGTCTAATGCAAAATCCATGATGTTTATATTCAAAATGATCATCATATTGTAAGAATTCCAGCAATGTAAATTATATTCTGGTCCAGAAATTTGTATGAATTTTATGAGCTAAAACAAATATATTCAGTTAATAAAAAAAAA